CCAAGGAAACCCAGAGCTTGCGATTGATTTGCGCAGCATCTTTGTCCCCACCTCGCCAGCTTTGCATTACGTGCGACCCAAGCCAAACATGCGGCACCTATGGTGGCTCAAAGGGAAACTTCACCGCTCACAACACTTTTTGTCCCTGGTCGTTGGCTGTGGGCTGTCCACAAACACACCGGTCTATTTTCGTCTCCCCTAAGTCATTTTGGGGGTGTGAACCACTCCTGAGGCTCCGTCACAGGACCCAGCACGAAGAGAAGGTTCAGGCAGCAGTACCAGGCAGAGCTGCAAACGATGTGTAGCGTGGTTGGCAACCGGCCTGAAATCGAGCGGAAGCACCCCCTAATCCTCTGGCCGTTTGGGCATCTCGTCTATGGGCTTGGCCTGGAGGGTTTCTGCACTGGACTTGAAGCGACACTCTCAAACCCGATTTCCCGAACATGACATCCACTAACCCACCAAATACTCTTCAAACAAGTCCCCCCAAGCCTTTACTTGCGTGAACCTTGTACAAGAGATCTGCAAGGAATCTTCCACACCGCACAGCATCTAAAGCAACCTGTGCTTGCTCCAGCTGAGAACGCTGACAGTGTGGACAAATCCCGTAAAATTTAAATTCACAGCTAAATGCAAACAAATGACCGGAAGCATCCGCTTGTCCACAAGCGCGTGAAAATCATTGACACAGTCAAGGCCCGTGATAAATTCATACTGCAAGTCCCACAAACCCAAGTTGATGCCGTTCCATGTTGTCACCCCGCAAAGATTGAACGCTTGCGCGTTCGATTTAAAGCCAAAAGGCCTTGAGCCGGTGTCTTGAGTTGCCCCACACTTATAACGAGCTTTCAAGGGCAAGGACATGTGTTTGTTGTCGCCCGCAGAACCCTTTTGGCTGCGCAATCCACAATTTCCAAACCAGGCCAGACACCCCTCACAGAAAAATTCCTCTGCCACACCGACCTTCCACATGTAGCATCATAAAACATACCTGACATGCATGGGGCGAGCGCTCAGCTTCCGAACCAAAGCGGAGGTGCCCCAAAAGGAGACTTATGGAGATCCTTAGGTTCTGTGGTCCGGGAAAATGAATCCGCACACGGGCAGAAAGGTGTCCTTGAAAATAGATCGCGGTAGATTGAACCACAAGGTAGACCAGGAATCGCCCTCTATTTTTCAAACCAAAAAGGACACCTGTGCCCAATACCCTCACATCCCCCTGCGCAAGTCGCCCTCCCTGTGTTAGGTGGTCTTTCTTCGAGTGGCCAAGCACCGGTCGTGCCCAGGCCACGTCCAGGAAGTACGCCAACTGGGCACCCCAAGCAAAACCCCGCCAGGGTGACACGTTGGAGAACCACATGGCCATGGGTCAAAATCCCGGTTAGCCGTCGGCGAACATCGCAATCCCCACTAAAATAGACTAAAATGGGTGGTGCACCTACCCCAAAATGGTACCATTGGTTTTGACCGACAGCCACATGGCCCTCATAGATAGAATCAAACCAAGCTAAACCAGCGCCAGCGATTTCCAAGCGAACAAACCTAAAAAGTGCACGTACGACAAAGGCTTGAACCACCGCAACGAGTGAAAAGGATGTTGGCACAGGTTGGCATTATGCCATCTTAGAGCGATACTTTGCCAGCCCGCTGAAACGCACACTTTTGCACAAATGTGTTTGCGGACCTTGGGATGGTGAGTGTCTGGCTGCAGTGTCGCATGCTTGCCCTCAAGCATGCATGTTCAGTTCGTCTTTTCTTGTGTTGTTTCCCGACAAATCCTTGCATACTAGCGGGACCGTCTCGACAGCAGGACCCTTTCGTTTCGTGCGGGCAATACTCAGGACATCGTTGTTGTCGCACATGGTCCTCACAACGGACCTCAGGAGTTGCGGTTCCAATGTTATGTCGTATATGATCACTTACCTCTTGATACCATCGTCATAGCTACTTACTTCCCATCTTCATGGATACGCATACTCCGATGCCCAGAACTATCGTCTTGACACTTCGAGACTCCGAGACTCCGAACCTCTCCTGCGTCTTCATAACGCTGTTTGGGGTCTCCCGGTATATCCGCTGGAGAACCCGATCGGCCGATCGGTGACCCGGTGACCCGCTGGCGCTCTGCGGCCCGTGCCCAGAAGGCTAGCGCACTGGCAACGACCAGCGTGACCGGCGGACGCACCGCCCGCGGCATAGCCGCGGCTAGGGTCGCAACCTCGCGCGTCCGCGGATCAAAAGTCGAATCTGAAAGACGAAAATGGCTTCAAAAAGCAGGCCGCCACAGAGAGAGAGAGAGAGAGAAAAGGAACTCTAAATCTTGTTCTGGAAGCACTTGCTTTAAATGACAAATCAATGTTTGATGGCTCTGAGAGATACTTGCCTGTGGTTCCTATGACCCCAGCAACGCGGCTGACAAGGCGTCGTAGGAATTGCAAAATATTGCTTCAACAAATGGCAAGCACCCCCGGTCTGAGTCGGTTCTGCAAATTTTACGGGCGCTGACTTTGCCAAAAGGGTGCTGTAAAGTTGGCCTTAGATCTCGACAGCCCGCAAACAGGACTCCCCATATTTCCTTCCCCTAAACATCACCCCAACAGCAAGCCTAGAGCTACGCTCAAACAGTCGCGGAGACTCCTGCCAAAGATTCCGCTGGAAAAAACAGTGTCTTGGTTGGCCACTGGATAGAACCAAGCAAAACCAGTACCATGTATGTTAAAACTGAACAACAGGACACCCAAACGGCCCGACTCCAGGAGGTGGCCTCAAAGGAATCAACCAACTGGCCAAAACTCACAGAAGCCGAAACTGGGGGGATGGGGGGATCAGCAAGGGCGACTGCCATTTGGCAAACGGCCTTCTGTTTGTTGCATCCCAAGATCCGCATGTCCAATGAATTCCGGAACCGGATCAACCTCCAGTTATCGGTTGATTGGGGGGGCTCAAGCGATGTCGGAATGAGACGTAAGACGGGCCCGCGTGACCGTGTCCTTTTAAAAGCAGGCATTTCAGCCTCTTTGGTAAAGGACATGAAACCAACAGCTTCCTGAGGGTCCAACTCACTTTTGGACGGCGCTAATGACAAGCCGCGGGTTTGGACCTGGGCCAAAAACTTTGAGCAAGAACACCTGCTTAGGTCTTAGGATAACTTTCCCTTTCCACCCCTCATCTCGCACTTGCGGAACTCTCTCAAGCGGACGCTCCACTAGGGACCCGGCTGGCCTCGTTGTATTGCATCCGAGGGAGGTCATTGAAACAAGTTCCAGGGAGGAGGTGCGCGTCAAAAGCACCCAACGCGAAAAGTGTTCTCCTTCTTTTTGCTTTCCCTCTCAGCGTCCATGTTTGTTCCTAGTGTTTTCGCGCAACCTCCCCCCCGGACGGTCTCTGTCTTGTTTACAGAATCAAAACAGAAACCGTGCCATAGCGTCAAAGACGGAAGACTCCGCCGTCGACTACGAGCCGGGAAAGGCGGTCCGCGCAGGTGTTCGCCATTGTTTGGCACCCAAACAGGTGGCAAACCCCCCAAACGCATGGGGTGTTGCGAATCCGTAGTGAGTTGGTCCCCCCCAAAAAAAAGAAGATAACAATGGTCTACCCCTGCGTTCTGTTCCTCTGGATGGGCTTGCCTGTTGAACCATCGAACGCGTGCCCCCAAAAAACCACACGCAAATGACTCATATGGAATGTGACATGTTTTTGCTCGTGAAAGTTGCTCACTCAGATTCACCGAAGAATCGGAAATCGGGAAATTCGCCGAAATCTGTCCGGCGTGGTTGGAAGCTTCCCCTCAATCCCCCACAGAGAGGGGGTGTGAAAGCGCCACAAGCCACACTCCACACTCCACACTTCCAAAAACAAGTGAATACCCAAAACAAAACCGTTAAACAACATCCTTAAACACCTTGAACAACCCGTTAAAAAAAGAGAGAGCGTAAAACACTGAACAAACACCCTAAAACACCCCAAAGTCCCCCGACTCCCCGGGTAGCGCCGGCCCAGGAGTGTGTGGAGTGTGGCAGTGTGAGGGGAGTGTGGAGTGTGGAGCAAAAACACTCTAAACACCACCGATACACCTTGAACAATCATAAAACACTAAAACAACACTTCAAACATCACTAAAACAAATAAAACATTCAAAACACTCAAAATACACTAATCAAAAAAACAACTTAAACATACCCTAGCAAAGCACTAAAGCACCACAAACTCCCCACGGTAGCGCCGGTCCTGGGAGGATTTGGCCCCTACTGTTGGGGATTTTTATTTTTATTTCTTGGTGGTGCTTATGTTGGTTAAGGTGCTCTTAGCAGATTTTCCGGTTCTTTCTAAATACTGGTTAAAGTGATTTAGGGCTTTGTTAAGGGCTTTAATGCGGGCTTAATGCTTTTTTGAGGTTTGCAGGTGGTGTTTGGAGTGTTTGCCCTCCACACTCCACACTCCCACACTCCCACACTCCACAAACACTCCACACTCCACTCCCCACACTCGACACTCCACACACTCCACACACTCCACACACTCCTCACTCCACTCCCCGCACGCCACACTGCACATTCCACACTTCGACTTCACACTCCACACTCCGCACTCCCCACTCCACACTCCACACTCTACACTCCACACTCCACCCTCCACACTCCACACTCTACGCTCCGCCTCCGCACTCCACACTCCACACTCCACACTCCACACTCCACACTCCACACTCCACACTCCACGCTCCGCCTCCGCACTCCACACTCCACACTCCACACTGTACACTCCACACTCCAACTCCACACTCCACTCCCCACTCCCCCCCTCCCCTCAGAGTCATCAAACAAGTATCAATCCTCAAAATATAAATCATCCAAATCGAACATATATCTCTTAAATGTCCAACAAAGTTCAATCATCCAAATCAGAACATGTCACGACTCCTTCCGGCGACCGCAGAAGTCGGCGGAATGAGCGGCTCTAAAGTTACTGTGGAACCAGGCAACCGGCTTCAGATCCCACGCCTCCGCCTGCAGAGATGACCTGCGATCTCGATTGATTCCGCAAGCCACAAAGATACGGATGTGGGAATGGCTCCTTCTTGAAGAAATCGGGCCCGCAAAAAATGGTGGGTGTTCCTTGTGGCTTTCCTTTCAAAGCCACCAAAACTGGGGGGGCCACCCTTAAAAACGACACACCCAAACAGGTCACACTTGGACAAGTTCCCACATGCCAAAAAGTCCTGGATTAGCGAAAGAGAACAAGTGGCGCGTGGACAATCAGCCCATTGAGATGATTGCTCGGAGCCCAAGGCCGCACATCAACTTCTATGAATCGAAAAGCGGAAGCTCAGCGAGTCGATCTGCTTGGTCTTGAGTCGCCTTGTGATACTGGGAAATTTCTAGAGGACTCATTCTAGGGGTTGGCCTCATGAGACAAATGAGTTGCGGAACTGTATTCAAAAAAAGCCGGGCTAAATTGTGGGGTGGGGGGGCTTTTAGTTGTTGCCCTAAACCTAGCAAAGGGGAGGTGCCAGCGTAACGCCTCAATTTGCGCTTGGGAGCTTCGCAATAGAATCTCACCCCAGGAAACACGACAACCCCCCCTTTTGGGAGGATTCCCATGATGTTTCTTGCCTTGGTTCCCTAACAAGGTAGTCTAAAATCGCCGTGTTCCTTTTGGTGTCCCGTTAAACCAAGGTACGAGAGGCACCCGAAACACAGACATCCCTGCAAGCTGCATGCCGATCCGGGCTGCCGCGCAAGCCACGATCCAGCTGCTGCAAGGCATCTGGATCAAGGGTGAATCGTTCCCATTGCAGGGACCCCCACCCTGCTTCAGTGCTCATACATGGCAGAGGCGTAAGCCAACCGAGGGAAAAAAGGGAGCACTTGTTTGTTGGACACAGCCGCAGAGCTGCTTATAACTTTATCACCAAAACCAATGGGCCCAAAAAATCGATCTGGTACTGTCCGTTGCTCAAATTCTTATTGGGGGGGGGTTCTTGGGACAGCCTTCAAAACGCGGCTGCCTTGGGAGCACAAGGAACTCAGCAAGGCAATTTTTGTTTAGGCCTGACAAGGTTTGCACGAAACCGCACCGGCGCCCTGCGTGGTCGCATACCGGTTGCGCAAGGGGCATGAGTCCTCCTCATGGATCTAAGGCAATTGCTTGGAGCAACACAATTTTCCCTGCTTCCCCCCCTTCAAATCACCCCTAGGGAAACTCACCCTAAATGGGAATGGTGATGCTTCAAACCACGAGACGGGACCCTTGCTCGGCCGCAGATTGGACTCCCCCAATTGAGGCTGTCCCTAGCCGCGGTTTACAATGCCTCGGCTTGCGGTTGCTTGGCTTGGAAGGAGGCGGCTTCAGGTACCCCAGGTACCTCCCATTTGCTAAGCACGTCTTGGATAAGAAGGCAGCCTAGCTAAGCGACACTTGGTCCAATGAACCCCCCAGCAGAAAAAGTGAATGTGCGTTTTGTCGAGGTGCGGAAACCGCCACAGCCGAGCAAGTGATCTACCGGCGAATCTGGGAGTCCTGGCACCAGCCTCCTTGAACCAAGCTGAAAAAACTGAAATGGGCCTACCTTTGTGATCTCCCCCCCTTCATGTAGGTGACGTCGCGATTCTGTTTGCGCACAGCAAATGCTTAGGGATAGGGATTGGCATGGAAGCATTCATAGAAGTTGCCAAAATCCCCGGATGCGCTCCTGGTCTTCCCGAAGTGCCGCAATCAGCGGTGACACCACATCTGCCCTGTGACTATGATGCTCGTAGCTGCCAGTGGTCACCAAGATAGTGCCCCCTCCGTGGCATTGCATCCAGTCCCATCTCTTTAGTAGAAGTTTGGCCAGGAAACCAAGATAAATCGCTCAATTTTCTACTCAGGGCTTCCAGTTGCCGTAGGTAACCCGGGTTTCCCAAGCCTTGTGGTTTCCCAAGGTAACCAAGGGAAACCACAATGGAACGTACCTAGAGGAAGCGTTGGTGAATCCACACACCCTCCCCACCTCCGGCAGGCACCTGCCTAAGGCCGCAAGTTGCAGTGATCCATCCCTCCACAAATGTTTTTGCTTGTGCTTTCGGGGATGTGAGAGTCCTTCGTGCGCAAGCCTCCACACCTGGAAAAAGTCCATCCTGTCCTTCTCCGATTCTCTGAGTCGGGTCTATGGTCTATGAATGGGGATGGAGTCAGTCCTCACGTGACTGAACCCTTAGGGAGTCCCCAAACTCTTTTTCTGCAAGAAATCAAAGACTTGATGTCTGTCACAGCCTTGGGTGGTAGCATACGGCGCCAATATTCTGGTATATGCCTCCCCTTTTGTTTCTATGGTCGGTGAAAGTTCACTCAGTGCTTGTAGCCCTCAGAACTGCCGACCCCTGTGGCGAAAAAAACCGCCGTTGGGCCGATAGCAGGGACGTGATGGATTCCCTGGATGGAAGCGAAACACAAAGATTTGCGCATTCTCATTTAGCAAAGGCCGAGCGGAACTGTTGGGAACCGAACTGTCCCTCTTTGCACGTGCGCGGATCTTTCCTTTGAGGTTTTTGCGATGCACTCTTGACATGGAACCAAAATAAAACGATCAGTTTGTAAGTCTCCTTTGGGAAGGCTGTTGGGCTCCATGTCTTGGATCAAAACACCCCGACCCCACCCCTGACCCCGCCCGAAGTCCACCCGCTCGATCGGCTGGGGCCCCTCGCCCGGCGCGACCACTCTGGCTATCCTGCAAAGCACCTTGGCCGGCACATGGAATAGCCATGTGAGCCATAACACAGCTTCCCCCTAATTGGTGGTTTGGATTGGTGGTTTCCCATTTACCCTCTACAAGAAGCAGGGGTTCAAATCCAAACCACCAATTAGGAGGTACCTGAATAAGATTACTTGTTGCAATTAGATATGGAGAATGAGGCCTCGCCCCCGGTTGTTGAAATTTAGAGCTCGTCCTACCGTGTCATGAACCAGAGACTGCCGTTGACCAAGCCTGTGCCCAAACTCATGGGTCTAAGGAAAGCACACGTTGGTGGGAAAATCGAGCCCCAACATGTCCCTCGAACGAAAAGGGTTCCAACGTCCAAGCCCACACATGTGTTTTTGAGGGTGGCCCTATCGGAAACCACCCATCTTGGGACGTCCTTTTCGCTTGTGCAGAACACAGAAAACAGCAGCCACGTCTGTGCGCTCGGAAGGAATGTACAAGTCCCCAGCTTGTGACACACACACACACACGAAAACAACGGAAAAGTCGGAGCCCCGCAAATGCCTTGGCCATGTGGTGGCCAAGGGAAGCCCCTGCAAGCAAAATTGCCTTCCTTGCTTGGACATCTGTGTCAAAAAAGCAGCCCCCTTTACAGACGTTGAAAGACATCAACTTTGAAGCCAAGCGTTTGGAGGGGGCATGTTCTTTGGGAGGAGTGCTAGGTGCGTGAGTTCGCTCTCTCCCACACTCCCGCAAAAACAACTCTGCCAAACTTCGGGACACAAACGGCACCGATGCTTGTTTTGTTGAAAGTGGTTCTGGTGGTCTGTTCACTACACAAGGCACTGACGAACACTTGCTTTCTAGGCTGAAGTGAATGACCCCATTCTATAAGGTTTGAGAACACACCTACCGCTCTGGGCATTGAGTTTGATTCCTAAACCCTCAGATGTATCACGTCAGAGTTGCAACTACGTTTCAAGCTTGTCCCTTCCTCCCCAGACTGGAACACAGAGCGAATTCACATCACTTGGGGACCCATCTCCGTATGGTGCCCATAGAGACACTTCAACCCAGTGGAAACTCACTTGGAAAATAAGCGCACTTCAATGGCCAACAAGTCTAGAGCGATGTTTAAACACAGGCCCTCCAAAAAGGAAATCGGAAAAATGGCCCCGGTGTGCGGAATCCAGAGAAAACGCGGTTGCTTTACGCGTTCCCAAAAGCGGCTCGACCGTTGGACCTTCGACCAGAAAGCCCCGTGAGCCGCACGGCTTCGGATGAAAAAACGTTCGGAAAGAATTCCTTGGGCATTGCGACCGAATAGCTCTTTCTAACACCAAAAAGTCACTCCAAGCCCTGGCTACCCACTCGGCCCTGGCTAAAACCCTGCTTGAAAATCCACCAAGACCCGACTCAAAATCCAACGCAACGTCCCCCGACGAGCCAAACGCTTCTTCTGAGGTCCTGGGCCCTGAAGCAGGCGCCGCGCCAGCTCGCCTAACTGGGCATGACTTTGATCCGGCGGCCCAAACTGGGCATTTGGGGGGGAGGAGTTCTGTACCACTTCTGAGCTCTCCTGGCCATTTTGACACAACACCCACATGGAGCTCCTGATTTCTCTTCAGAGCTGAGTTGGGCCCGGTGGACCCCCCCAAAGAGAAACCAAACCAGGGGTCCTTTAGTAGCCCACAGAAATCGTTGTTCCACTTCCCTTTCGTTGCCCCAAAAACTTGGGGCGACCTCAAAAAATGCGGAGACGCGGAAGTTCTCTGGTGAAACAACCTTCAAGAGTGAACTGTACGGGTGTCTCTTTTTTGAGGGTACCCCATTTTTGTGGTGTCAAAGGAGAACCAACAGGAAACCACAATTTGGGAGGGTCCGCTAAAAAAGACACGCCCTGTGGTTGGACCCTGAGAAGGGAGTCATGTCCCTTCCCGACCATCTGGTTGGAGTTCCAACCCATCAATCTCATTGCCAGTTGGTCCTACCGTGCGAGTGCAACGCTGTCAACCGATCAAAAGCGGCTTCCAAAGAAGAAGCATGAAACTCGGGACCCCAAGGAACCCGCAGGGGCACGCGCAGAAAAAAGAAAAGAAAACCTGTTCGGATTCGCACGTTTCATAGCTACCTCTACCCTGACATATCGCATAGTTCTGGAGACCCCGAAAGGCGCAAGAGACCTTTGGCCTTGGCACCTCGTCCTCGCACTGAAAAGAAACTTCAAGCGAGGAGAGGGGAGCTTGCGAGTCGCGAATCGCTGGTGCAAAGCAGGGTACACCGCCGGGAAGCAAAACTGCTTGATTTATTTGCTGTCTGTGTTGTGTGTCTTCTTGTTTGTGTTTTGTTTTGTGGTTTTGTTGTATCCCGTGTGTTTCTTTTTTTTCTGTGTTTTGCTTCCCCTTGTTTTCCGCAACTGCCAGCACCTCATCTCTCCCCCCTCACGCCGGGGTGGAGGACACTTGCTGGATCAAAAGTCGAGTGGGCTGGTCGTTTATGGAGCAAGTGGGGTTGCTGTAAGGACTCCTGGATGTCACATCCACATGTCAGAGCCAGAATGTTGCTAGGCAAACGTGCGCTGTGCTCCGGACTTGGACCCACTGTAAAATGTAACCTTGTTGCTGATTAAAACTGGAATTGAAGGAAGCCCCAGTTTTAGGCAAAGAGCAGAAAGGGTTTTGAAGGTACTCAAATCTGGAAACGGCTCCAAGAGAAATGATATAGCAGGTTGCAACAATCGCTTAGCTTCAGGACGGGACCTGTGGGTTCCGTGCTTGTTTTTGGAGGGGTTTATGACAGGATCTGGGCCCGCTCGATGCCTTTTCTTTTGCCTCCTTGAGGGCACTAAGGCTGCAACGTGTTGAGGGTAAGGATCTTGGGCAGTTAGTGCCATCTGCTCGTGCTTCAAAGAGGAACGGGTGGAAAGCATGCAACCCTGGAAGACCAGTTGCCTCAAGTGACCTGGCAGGTGCTACAGGGGTTCCCATAATTTCGCCTTAAGCCATCATCCCAGGGGGAAAGCACCTTACTATTCCGGAAGATCGTTCTAACTTACCTTATGGGAATTAGTATGGATAGCTTTCGATTTGAGATGTTATGTTTTTGGTCCTTGCTTGCGAAGTGGTTTTCACCATGATTGATGTCCAGTCAACGGCACAAGCTGCAGTCAAATTCTGCCGCTACGACTAGCCAACTAATACTCCTGTAACTGCAAGGCTGGTTATGTGATTTCCAGGGCAAACCATGACCAATTGAGCTCCAAAAACACGTCCCTCGCGTTGAGGATTGCTAACATGGGGTTGTCTTTTTAAAGGGCAGGCTTTTTGGGGCTGCTTTTAAAGGGAAGCCAAAGGGACACCACCTGCTTTAAGGGGTTCTCTTGAAAAACAAACCCACCTGACAATGCCAGCGCTGCCAACGCCCCCTTCGGTGTGGATGCTTAAAATCCCTGCGTTTTCCGGAACGAATCGGAACTGGCCGATTCGAACATCTACGAATCCGCCTTGTACGAGCGACGAGGGCTGTCCAAAAAAGCCATGGGCTTGAGGTTTGTTGCGCCTTCAGCATGGACCAATGACACGAGTGTTCGATAGTATTCGTGAGCCGCGACAACCCATTCATGGTAAACTTGCCTCGTGAGGAATCCCGCTGCCCTGGTGGAATCCTGGAATGAACAGTAGGGAGAGCGGGTTCCAAAGGTTGCCTCGGCGCAACCTCCTTGGCCGCGGCAAAGTATTCGAAATCTGAATTCTGCGTGTGTGCTCCGGAGCGTTTTGGAAGACCTTTGCACGTAAAGCCAGCCCTTTATGCAGTGAGACGTGTTCAAAAAGAATTGTTCCCAAGTGTCCCGTAACTGTCTCGAGATGGGGATCACAACCCCCTTCATAGCCCCCAGTGACTGCCATGTCCTCTGAAAGGTCTTCCGCCGCAGCGGACTTAAAAAGCGCGTGGCTTTCCCATCTACAGCCGGCTGAATGCTGCTTCATTAAGTTGGAGTCTCAAAGTGAGAAACCCACAAAATGTGTGAGTTCCCCTTGCTAAAATTGGTGATGGTTGCTTGTGTTCCCTTGGAAGGGCCCACCCCTCAAGGCGGCCGAGGTCTGTCTCAAACCAGGATATGGCAAACAGGCGCGTCGGTGTCCCTTTGGCTTCACTGCAACCCGAAAGGGTGATCCTTGAGCAAAAGACACGCGCACTTGTGGCTGAATACGAGGCGAAGTATTGAGCTCAGATGTGATGAGTTCGGCGAAGCAAACGAGTCCAGCATCCACTCAGTCGGACGAGCAAAGCCCTACATTACAAAGGCTCCACAGCTGAGGCTGTTGGACCCAGAAAGACACATTAGCCTGACAGCTTGACAGCGCAGGCTTGCTTCCGCACAGCCCTGGAACCCAACTTTTGTTGGGGATGGAAAAGCTCCAAGGCGCACCGTAGCGCCAAGTGAGCGGCTCGCTAGATGCTTGATGGCTTGAGTGTTCCCTAGTTCCCGCCTGGAGTGATAATTTTCGCAGTCACGGTCCACTGCTTGAGGCGCATGGGCCTGATTTGACCTTCTTTTGATGCACATTCAAACTTGCTCTCACCTCCAAGGCTCAACGCAGTTGGCCGCCAAAACAAAACTCGCATCCAGCGAGCCAGGGGCATGTAGTCCTTGACTTCTGGCCGGAGAGGATCCTTTTCACAAAACAAAACATCGGTCCCTTTGACTTACACAAGCCCTTGGTCCTCTCAAAAAGTATTTCAGCTCCTTTCCTTGCCCCCATGGCCCCTTGCCGCCTTGAAGGGTGCAGAGACCCGCGAAGAGACCGCCCCCTACAACTACCGGCATGGGCTGGGCGGCTCGCCTCAAGGCAAAAGCTGCTGCTAGAGGCAAAGGCAGCTAAGCGAACCAAGCGATCAGAGAAACCTCCTTGCGGGAAACCCTACACGTTCATGTTTGAAACCGTGCTTTGAGGAGTCGCCTTCAAATCTAAACTACAAAGAAAGGGGGTCGTGAGTTCACCGCCGAGGCCTACTGATCTTCCCCGCACCAGCATAGGACAACCATTGCCGCACACAATGATATGATATGATTGGAACACATCCGTCCGAACACTGCCTGCGGGTGCTGTCCGCCCAACGAGATGAACACAAGCGTATAGGTCAGGAAATAATTCCCAAACGAGCCGCGCCCAAGAGGGAAAGGCGGGCTGTAAATACAATATGATGACAGCGTAGCATTACATGAACAGTCTGTAGACACGTCGACCCAACCTCGTGTGAACCCCTGTCAAAATCATAGGGGAAAAGGATCTCTGCGAATTCGTTCCATCCGTGATCAATCCTGAAAGCGCTCCCTTGCCCTCGCTCCGCTTAGCCAATCGACTGGCGTCAAGTCGAGGCGAGCAATACATTTGCCCTCGGACCTTGCCCCCCGGAAAACTTGCAATGATTCCACCTCCTATAGGGTCCAGCACGGCACCTAAAAATTTTGGTCAACGGGACATATCCACTGTGGCAAATCCAACATTGACCCCCCAAAAAAAAAGCGAGGCCAACTTTCTGCATGCCTCAAGCTTCACGCCGGCTACCAAGACAGGCCTGCCAAGCGCAGGCCCGCCGCAAGAACAGCGGAGCCAGCTTGAGGCTGGCCAGAGGCTTGGGAAGCCGATCCGATTTCGCGGTTTCTTTACGGATTTTCGAGGCACCGGAAGCAAAACCATGAGCTTTGGTGGTTTCGGGTCACATGCTCATGAATCAGATCTCAACGGAATCATATTCCACATCTTTTTTGAGGATCTCCCCCGGCATTCTGGCCAAGCTGACACAGCGATCCCACGGCTCTCGCGATCCTATGAAGCGAGTTCGAGTTGTCGCACTGTCGGCAAACTGGGTGGGCTCGGCTCATTCCAAGATCGCGTTTCTGTCCAAGAACTTGGTGCCATCCAGGTACCTCCGGAAGCCAGTTTCCCGTTTGTTCCCGTTTGTTCCCACCCACCCACCCACCCCCGCCAAGAAAGAAACAAACACATGGTGGGGGGGGGGTACCATGGATGGGATCTGATCAAAGCACATCAAGGCTGGGCCCCTTCCCCTAGCCGGGTTCCAAAGCCCACCGGGAAGGGACCCGGATCAACCGCCGGTGAATCTGACATTAGACTCATGGGGTCTTCAAAAGAAACATGTGAGCTCGTTGAGCCCCAGGTTTTCGGAACCACTCAGGACCCCGACTGGCAAGCTGTCCCAGCGATCACTTCACCGTCCCAAAACAAAACTTGCCTTGGCATGAGCTCTCTCGGGAATTCCGCAGCTTTTGCATGGGCTGTTTCCCTGTGCCTCCAAACAACCCCAAGCCACATGTTGATGACCACTGAGTACCAACTATCCCAGTTGATTACCCCACGGACCAATGGTTGCAACCTTCCGGTCGAATATCCACCCCGAATAGGGCATCAAACAGGAACCTCGTAGGTAACCCCACTTATATAGTGGATCATAAGTCCAGCAACCCCCAGTTACCCAACCCCAACCAAGTTTCCTTTCGGCTTCCCTTCACCACTCAAGACGCACCCATGAGCCCCGTCACCTGATGTTTAGCGCTTCCAGCTGCTCGAGGCAGTCCTGGGCCTCCGAGTTTTGCACCACCTGACTCAAAATGCGAGTCCGGACCTAGATGAAGGCCACCTATGGCGTACCACGGCTTCAACATGGGGTGAAACCGGCTGAGGAATCCGCGAATTCGTTTCCTGGCGTTCCCAAATAATGAATTCCCCCTGCTCACTTGCTGGTCCCCAAAAATCAGCCAGTTCAAGCATGGGTTCAAACCACTACGCTTAACCTCGCGCTGTCCCAAACAAAACCGGAACGCGTGGTTTGACTGGCCCATAGCCCTGAACTTTGCAAATTGATAAGCCCAACCGCGACGTGGGACCCCCTTGTTCTTGGTATTCTGGAATGCCAATTTCTTTCTTGGTGTACTTAGCTCCAGCGCCCACCGAAATGGTGTGTTTGATTCTGGTCCATCATTTTGGTAGACCTTAGTGTCAGGTGACTGATTTCAACAAAAGATCCCGGTCGGGGTCGGTGGTGTGGCTCCCCAAAGCCCACCGGGAGGAGGGCCTAAAAATGGGTGGAATACCAAAAAAAACGATCAACCCACTACCCCAAAAACGCCTGCAGCAGCTCCTTCAGCATCGTGGCCGCCATGACGCCTGCCATGACTTCCAACCATAGCCATGGTCCAATCCTCTGAGGCGAACCCAAAAAGAGATTCCAAACATGGAGGGGGTGGGTGTTCCATAATCTGAAGTGTAAGCAAACATTTGTTGCTCCCCCGCCAAATTCACTAGCAGCTAGTCACTAGCAACCCACCCCTTGGTGGACCCCAAGAGACCCCAAGACTGCATAGCTTTGGGAGTTCCATGTCAACCTTCTGACATCCGCATAAGGGCAACCAACCCGTGCAGGTGAGACAACTGGCCTTCCCAGTTGCCTCTTGACTTAGCAGGGTGAATGAGCATGGGCATGCCCAAATGGTCATGAACTAACATGGTTAATGGAAAATGGGGCCCTTTCTCTGATGCCAAAGTGGGATTCCATCCCGCAGCACGTATCCAAGAAAGTGGAGAACCGAAAACCTCAATTTCCTCCAACATGAAGCTTCTGATACTCATTCCCTCCCTGTTTTGTTGATTTAGCAACTGTGGCCCACATCCAAAAAGTTGACCAACGTGCTTCAAACCATCGTGGATCATGAACCCGGGTCTTCAATTAATTCCTGGTCCAAATATTCACTATTTGGGAGCATGATGTCAACCCCTAACCAAAAAAGGCCTTATAAGCGTTGCCCTTGGGGGATCAGCACGATCCCCTATCCAGTGGCTTGGCTCCGAGCCGCGCGAGTCCCCACGTCTGAGACCAACACCCGCGCCTATGGCAGCCTTGGCCTCCTGGCCGTCCATCTGCTTGGCTGCGCCATGCGCTTTGTCCAGCAGCGACTGGGCGCAGCGGATGATGCCTGGAGTCAATTCGAGGGATGAAAGAAAAGTGGGAAATAACCCAAAATAACCCGAAAAGCCCGAAATCCGTGATACCAAGGTGGACTTCCCAACTGCCCATGCCCGTGACTACTTCCTCACTTTAAAAGGGCGTTCCCTCGGTAAGGCAGAAAGCCACCCTAAAACACAATCTTCGTTGAGTATCCATGTCACCCCATGAGGATGGTTTTGCTATGATATTCCCGTTTTGGCATGCACCCGCGAATAACCTTTCAGGCTAGATGCACTGCGCGAAGAATAGACAGACAGACAGACAGACAGACAGACAGACAGACAGACAGACAGACAGACAGGCAGGCAGGCAGGCAGGCAGGCAGGCAAGCAGACAGACAGACAGACAGGCAGGCAGGCAGGCAGGCAGGCAGACGAACAGACAGACACACACAGACAGGCAGGCAGGCAGACAGACAGACAGACACAGGCAGACAGACAGACAGACAGGCAGGCAGGCAGGCAGGCAGGCAGACAGACAGACACAGACAGACAGACAGACGGCAGATAGATAGATAGCTAGTTGGATAGTTAGAGTTCGATAGTTAGATAGTTAGATACTTAGATAGTTAGATAGATAAATAGTTAGATAATTAAATAGTTGGATAGTTAGCTAGTTAATTCGTTAGTTAGATGGATAGATAGACTAGAAAGATAGATAGATAGGTAGATAGATGGATGGACAGATAGATTAGATTAGATTAGATTAGATTGGATTAGATTGGATTAGATTAGATTAGATTAGATAGGATAGGATAGATAGATACTTTTAGATTGATAGACGAGATTAGATAGGTAAGACAAAATAGGATAAGGTAAGGTAAGCTCAGATAAGACAAGATCGGATAGGACAAGATAGGATAAGATAAAAAAAGGTAGAGATATTAGGTGCACACGTGGACCCCCCCCCCCTCCGCCCCCCTGTGGGGGTGGGGTGGGGGGGCGGGGGTTGGGTGGTTGGGTGGGGCATAGGGTTGTTGGTTTGGTGGGTTTAGGGTGGGGTTAGTGTTGGCTTAGGGTCGGTTTAGGGCTGATTTAGGTTTGGTTTAGGGTTCGTTTAGGGTGGGTATAGGGTTAGTTTAGGGTTGGTTTAGGATTGGTTAAGGGTTGGTTTACAGTGGGTTTAGGGTGGTTTTGGGTTGGCTTAGGGTTGGTTTAGGGTTGGTTTAGGGTTAGGGTTAAGAGTTAGGGGTATAGGATTGGTTTAGGGTTGGGGTTTAAGGTTGGTTGTGGGTTGAGTTGTCCTACATGTCGGGATGCAAGGGTGGGAGTTCAGGGGCTCGAGGAGGGGGTGCGTAGCAGCGGGGTGTAGGGATGCGGGGGCTCAGGGTTGGGGGGGACCCTATTCTTGGGGGGGGGGGGTTGGGACTGGAACATATATACATATATATATATATATATATGGTACAGCGTTGCCAGCCCCCCCCCCCCCCTCATGGGTCAGACAAGTACCCCCCCCCCCTGTGGTTGTGGTCCTGTGGTTAGGTTGTGGTGGTTCCGGGTTGGTTTAGAATTGGTTTAGGGTATATTTAGGGTGTATTTCGGGTTAGTTTAGGGTTGGTTTAGGTTTATGTTGATTTTGGGTTAGTTTTGGGTTGGAAAAGGGTTGGTTTAGGGTTGGTTTAGGTTTACGGTTTAGGGTTTGGTTTAGGGTGTATTTAGGGTTGGTTTAGGGTTAGTTTAGGGTTGGTTTAGGGTTGGCTTAGGTTTAGGGTTTATTGTTTAGGGATTGGTTTACGGTGCATTTGGAGTTAGTTTAGGGTTGGTTTAGGGTTAGTTTACGGTTGGTTTATGTTGATTTAGAGTTGGTTTAGGTTTTGAAGTCTATGGTTTAGGGTTTGGTTTTGGGGGTATTTAGGGTTCGTTTAGGGTTAGTTTAGGGTTGGTTTATGGTTGGTTGCGGGTTGGCTTGTCCTGGGGGTGGGGGTGCCGGGGTGTCGGGGTGCGAGTTCAGGCGGTCGGGGTGGGGGTGGGACCGTAGGTGACAGGATCCGGGGGCTCGGGGTCTCGGGCCGGGGGGGGGGGTCCTGGGGGACCCATACCATATGGGGGGGGGGGGGTAGCAACACGGAACACGGGACCATACATATGTAAAATACAAGACAAGACAACTACAAAGATGAAGATAAGGATCGTGGTAAAGATGAATATACATAAAAAGATTAGAAGATACGGAACTAGGTAGATAGCTCGATAGATAGTTCGATAGATCGATGGATAGATGGATAGCTTGGCAGATAGATAAGTAGAGAGATGGATTGATCGATAGATAGATAGGAAGAGAGAAAGAAAGGGAGAAAGAGAGAAAGAAAGAACGAGAGAAAGAGAGTAAAAGACAGAGAAAGAGAAACAGGGAACAACGAAAACAAGAATCAAAGAAAAAAAATGAAATAATGAAAGAATGAAAGAGATAGAGACAAAGAGAAAAAAAGAAAGAACTAAAGAAAAAAAGAAAGAGAGAGAGAAAGAACGGAAGAAAGAAAGAAAGAAAGAAAGAAAGAAGGAAGGAAAGAAAGAAAGAAAGAACAAAGAAACAAACAGACAGACAGACAGGACAGGACAGGACAGGACAGACAGGGCAGGGCAGACAGGGCAGGGCAGGGCAGGACAGGACAGGACAGACAGACACACAGACAAACAGAGAGAGATACAAAAAGGAAAGAAATGACTAAAGAAAAGAGAGAGAGAGAGAGAGAGAGAAAGAGAGAAAGAGATAAAAATGAAGAGAAAGGGCACAAGAAAAAGGCAAAGACAAGAAACAGCGAGAGAAGAAAGAGAGAGAGAGAGAGAGAGAGAGAGAGAGAGAGAGAGAGAGAGAGAGGAGAGAAGATGCGGGCTCCAAATTATAGTTCTTGTATGATTGAAACTTCCCCCCCAGGCTCTGCCAGACTCTAATGGTATGGACCGGTATGAATGTCCGACAATAGTACAAGAAACCGATAGGGGACCATAAAAACACGGATACCCTCCAAACTGCAAAACAAATAGATAAGCACCACAAAATTGAAACCTTGCCTATATACGAGCCTATGGCCATTGTGACCCCCTGTGGTGGGTGGCGTGCCATAATCGAACCATACTTGATGAGAAGTGAATCAGAACTTCGCATGTGATCAGTGCATTCAGCCCTTGAAAGTCCTTCAAAGGTGTTGGTGTTCTTGCCGGGGCAAATGTAAGCCATCCATTCTGAGGGTTCCGCGCCACCCCTTCTATTTGGAAAAACACGGAAACCTATTCACAATGTCCAATGAAAAATCAAAAAGTATTCGAACAAACATCCTGGCTTTGAATGTGACCTTCGATTCTCAAATTGGTTCACCTAAGACCATCTTGAGCCTAAGACCATGGGACCATTTTTGAGCTGGCGCTGTCCATATGACCTGGTGCGGGGCACCCCGCCCTGTGGATGGCAAATATTGAAAGGGCAAAGGAGAATGGAGCACCTGGAAAATGGTCCTGAGACTCAATCCTTTGGCATACATATTACATCTGTGATATTCATGTGATCGCAGGTTGCCTACCCAACCAAGAACTGCGGACGGAACGTTGGTTGCAAAAGAACCACCCAAACAAATGCTGGCTTCTTCGTGGTTTCCCTTCAAACGCCATCTCAAGAGGATGGCCCCTCTTTTCCTCACCAAATCTCGGCTCCGGTCCCATCGCTTCAGTCCGGCCTTGGGTCTCCTTACTGACCTCCTGCTTTCGATGGGCGTCCCCTACCTGCTGGCTCTCTGACTGAAGGCTGGGCGCGCTCCAGTCCTTCTCTGACTGCACCTCCTTCACGCCTCGCGTGTTTCTTCCGGCCCCGGAACTGGAGTTTCTTTTTAAACCACACAGTCTCACTTTTGGGGGGGATATCCCCATAATCAAAGGAAGTTCAGAAGAAACTTCCGTAATACTGGCAAGTGAAGGCTAGCTGATTGAAAGTAGAGAGCGGAAGGAGAAGACAACAGAAAAGAAGAAAAGAAAGAGAAGAAAAGGCTGTGTTGCGAGGAAGCGCAAGCCACCTCAGGTTCGGAACGGGTGCGGAACGGGCTCGGCGCCAGGCCCATTGGCGGACACGCGCCCTTTTCCCAACATGAGTTTGCGCAACAAGTGCAGCGCTTTTACAAGACCAAGTACAGAGTTTATAACAAACGCAGCACTTTCGCAAGATCAGGTTTTGATTTCGTGGCGATTCGCAAGGTCGGATAAAGATTTTGCAACAAGCGCAGCACTTTTGTTTGCCTGACAGGCGCATATTGCCATGCGCTGTTCTCACATCCCAATGGCACGCACGCGCCAACTGTCACACGTGCCGATATCGTGGCAGACGCATCAAGTGCAGAGTTCGCGCTCAGGTACAGGTTTCCTGACAGGCTCATGCAGCGACGTGTGACATGCTGCGCTGAGACAGAGGCGCTGATGTGTCGTCACCGGGAAGCTTCCCGAGCTTGTGTGCCAGAACAAGACTGGCTGGTGCGCTTGCATCGTCGATTTGCCGTCACAGACGGTCGCGGCAAGAAAAGGAGCGTGGCGGGACGGAGACGTTTTAAACCTTGTTTTTTTTTTCCGGGTAGAAACTTCCGCCCGCCGGCTTCGGCGCCTCACGGGTTTCATGCGGGGTCGACCTTGCCCAAATGGCCGCAGAGTTCCTTTCACAGAACCCGAGGGAGCCAAAAGGGCTTTCGACACCGGAAATTCCAAGTGTTGATCGGAAGCAGCTGCACTCCAATGCAGCGCCCCGGATATCACTTTGAATGGCCAAAAGGGGGTCCCCAAGAGGATATTCCTCGACAAATGGGTGTTTTCGGGAATCCATGTTAATTTTGTAGGGAGCATTTAGTCAACCCAATTCCCACCACAGAAGTGGTTTCAGCCTCGCCTCATTCCCATCCTTGAATTGCAGAGACCCGGATCCCAGTGCTTGCCTATTGCGCATGATGGCTCTGAGGGAAAAAAAACGTGGTCATAAATCTCAGCCCAAAGTGATTGCGCAAAGAAGTTGTGAACCAGCTGCAACCAAAAACCTGGACCGGATCTTTGGCAGCCTCGGGTCACTAGCTGGAACCCTGTCAAAACTGGTCTCCACAAGCCGCGCCTGTTCAATCGATAAATTCGCATCCCCCCCTTTTCGGCCAAAAATTGGATCCCTATCAAGACCCCTGTGTTCTGATTGAACATGCCACTGGGTACGATGAAGCTCGTGGTTCGAGTGAACGCCCCGCAGCAAATCGTTGCACGACCAGGACTATCTTGGCCTAATGGGGCTGATGGATCCTTCTTTGTATTCTACCATTTTGTCGTTCGTCAAATCGGCAAAGCATCTCTGAGAGGACTGCGGAACAGCTGCAGAGCAACTCAGAAAGATGTCTTCAAACTCGGTACACCATTGAAGAAAAAACAATATGTCAACCTGGGTTCTGCAAAGCCACGTCACCCGGCTAAGAAAATCTGCACGCTTGGCGGTGTACAAAACATCACCAGGGCCCTTGAACGGAGTGCGCACGCGGAAAACATGTGCAAACTCTCCTGAACCCATTCAAGCTGAGCGCACCAGTTTCGGCTGCCGAGCTCCCTTTGTGGCTCAGGAGGGCGATGCTTTTGCCGCTTTCCAGAATCACTGAAAGGCTGCATTTGTTTGGCCAAACAAAAGGTTTGGCTTCAATATCTGGGTATGGGCCAACATTAGACCACCAGGGGATCGCAGGTTTTAGCCCTCGTTTCCGTTTACCAGGGTTCCATTTTAGGCGCCTATTTTTGACCCACACCCATCTGGGACGCCGCGGGGGCAGCTTCCCCGCCTGCATCGCCGGGCTCCGAAGGCAGCAAACCCACAGGGTAGAAGGGCAACATGCCTGTCCGGACTACTGGCAGCCCGGAAGTGTCCCCAGCTCAATTTGCACATTGCCAACAGGGCCGGTGGCTTCATCGCCCCTTTACCGAGCCGCTTCGTTTGGTGGCACTTCCCTCGGAAGATGGGCCAAAGCCATTGAAACTATGATTTCATTTTGGCCGAAAGGGGCTTTCAGAATCATGGCACAAAGGCCGGAGGTATCTGACTGCGCGTGTGGGAAGTGACCCTTTCCCAACGCCAAAGTCACCCCCTAACTATGCCACTCACCAGGGACTTATGTTGGTACCTCATGTCCTTCGTACATTTTTCCAGGTTTTGGGGCATCGCTTGTTCGGACGGCCCGTATCGTTTCTCGACAAAAACGAACAACGACATGCGCACGAATCACTACGTAGGGTAAATGACGGCCATTTTGAAGCTGACTCAAACATAGCTGACAAGGCGGCGCAGTGCAGCTTGCCCCAGTCCAGCACGGCGATCCTTCGACCGAAAGGGATGGATCACTTGTTTCAGACCTTCTCGCAACGCTTTTGAAGAAGGGTCCGTGCAGCGCGGCCTTATTTCATCTCACTAGCTTTGTGCCAGATGGCTATGGGTATAAGCGCAAAAGGTCGGCAACCCCTTTGAGGCGCTACCGTTGCAGTGCCTTATGGCGCTTTCGGCCACAAAGCTCAAAACTCATCCTGCCAATGTGCGATTTGATCATTGCAGCAGGCTGGACCTTCGTCACCAGGTCCGCCTCATTCTCTACCGCGACCTCCTTTGCACCCTTCCTCAGGCTCATTGCCCGAGCCGACGCCGTCCTGCACAACGGTACCACCTTCTGCCCTGCGGCCCTGATGAGCACCGTGTGATGCCCAATCTTCACCACTGATCCCGTAGTGCTCCTTCTCGTCCTCAGATCTCCGGCCCAATCAGAGTCCGACCATGCCATCACGTCCACCTCCTCAGGCCTCTGCTCCACAAAGGTCCGCTTCATGTACGGGTACTTCAGCAGCCTTCTTCAGCCGAAGCCAATCACCCATCTTCGGGTTCTGCATAGCTGACGCCAAAGTCCTGGATGCGTGAATCAAATCCGGCCTGGCCGGTCTGGACCTTGCCCAACGCTTCGGAGCGCTCTTCAACAATGATGTCCTGGTATCCTCCAGGATGTCGCTGCCCTCGGTCTTGGAGTCGAACCCAAGCTTCCCGTCGTCGCCTGTGTACTTGCTGTTGAGGACGCCATCCATCCAGGTCAACTGCTCGTCCTCCGCCAGCACCAGAAAGTCGTCCCCGTGCCGATGATGCCTTTTTTTGAAACCTGAACAGGGCTGGGCACAGCTTACTGAACTCGCCCTTCTCCTTCTCCATGAGACATGGGTAGTCCATCTGGAAGATCTTGCTCGCATCCTGCGTGCCATACATGCTCCGTAGGAGTCTTCCTACCATCGCCTCCTGGTCCTCCAGGTGCACCAGGTCCTCCTATGAAAGCTCCACGAACAGCCACTGACAGTTTCCGCTTCTTCTTGACACCCTTCTGCGACATGAACAAGCATGATCATCATGACGCATTCCACCGGCAGCGTTGCCGCGAAGGTGTCCTCTGCACCCAGACGCTGATCTGGGCGCTTCGCCCGCTTGAATTTTGGTGACCAGCCGACTCCTCACCTTTGGATTCTCCTCATCGCCTTTGTCCAGCCACTTCAGCTGTAGTGGCTTCCTCTGAGCGCTCTGCTCGCAGAGCCTCTCGTAGACCTCCTCCTTGCGAAGCCAGTCCAGCTCCTCCGCCCTCGCCTTTTTCACAAGCTCAGCGGGCAGGACCGTCCCCGACGAGTCATCCACAAACAACTCGTCCAGCTCTCGGTTCTCCGACTCCTGTTCCACCCAATCATCCGGCGAGGCCCCTGTCAACATCTCCTCCACGCTGTTGATCTGCCCTCGCCTTCTCATTTCGCTCCGCAGGCCTTGCAGGATGGCCTCCACCAACTCCACCGGGCAGCCTGAGCTGCCTTAGCACCATCCTTGCCGATGAGGTGAACATGCCGATGGACTCCACGCCCCTGTAGCACATTCTCGCACACACCCCTCAGCTCCTCCGCAACTCACTTGTTCGTCAGCCACAGCGTCTCCTTTCTCACACGCAGCTCCTGCACCAGGAAGGAACCCCTCGCTCGATCATCTCTTTCACCTCCGTTTCCTGGATGCTCCTTTCGGGCGCTCGTGCAGGAAGATGCCTCCTTGCTCCGCCTGTTATTTACAGCACCTCAGAGCTTTCCACAATCTCTCTCTCCCCGCAACCACATCTGCATTCCTCTTCGGGTTTGTGATCCTCCGCAATGGGCTAAAGGTTGTACATGTGGGAGAGCTCGTCAGTGCTTGTCAGCAGCAGCAGTTTCTCCGCCTTGATCATGTTGCGAACCTTCTCGAAGTCCGCCTCCTGATCCATGTCCCGTCTCGCCGTTCCACTGGCTGCATCTCATCCAAGTCCACCGCCACTCCGTCTCTCAAGCCGAACCGCTGTAGTTCCAGCGTCACTCTTTTGGGTGAGAACATCTCCACCACATCCAATGCTCCAATGTCCGCGACCAACTCCGCCGCGCCAACCTCCTCAGCCTGCTGCGTCCCTCACTGCACCCCCACGGCCCACATCCTCTTCCTCTATGCTGAACAAGTACGGGAAGACGCCTGATTGTGCGGGGTGTATCTCCATCATAGGAGGCACCCAGCAAGTTGGGCACTCGGAGGAGTGCCGGTTGAGGATCCTGAAGAGACTCAAGGATGAGGATGCTGCGGACCAAGAAAAGAGGAGGAAGCAGATGAGGCAGAAGAAAAGAGAAGGTCCCAGAGAGAAGGTCCCAGAAGAGGGTCGCATACAAGGAAGCGAACGACGAACGGGAGCAGCCCGGAGCCTCGAAGGAGCCTGGCTCAAGCAGAGACGGGGTGACCTCACCAAAGAGGAAGGGCGGATCCATTGAGGATTTGCTCAAGCAAGTACCTTCTGACAGGCCGGGCCTTACCTCTTCCTGCCGTACCTGGGGCTGGAGCCTCCTCACCTGCCGCGGCAGGTCGTCATTCTGGAGGCTGCTCTAGGGCCTCCTCCGCCCGAGCTGCCTGCACCTCTCCTCCAAGTCCGGGACTACCTTGAATGATCACAACCGGCGGCGCTGGCAGCTGCTCCTCCGGCAGCTCAACATACTTCTTCACACTCCTCTCAGCCCTTGCAGGTAGGGCATGATGACCAGCCCCCTGATCGGTCATTGCCAGCACCAACCCAAACGTGGGTCCCCGCTTTCATCTTCTCCAGGTCTCCTCGCCACCCTTTCCCAGCCGGCTTGACCAAGATCTTTTCCCCGAAGAGCGGCATCGGCTTCACCCACTTCTTTCCAGTTCTTCTCTCATCGGGGTCCTCTTGAAGCGATTGATCTGCTCGGCCGCGTACCTAGGTGCCCAGTACGTCAACGGATGCCCCTGAGGTACTCCGCCTCCACTTGACCTCTGCTTTCCTTGCGGCGACTCTCCGGCACCGCTCTCGAAACTCCTCGTGCCTGCTTCGCCGCCTCCATCTTCATCTTCGCCAGTGACCTCTCTCCGTCGGAGTTTAAGACCACCTCTCTGTAGCCCAATATCTCCACCAGGAACCTTGTCAACGCCTACTGCGCCGTCAGGTCCGCCACTCCTTTCTTGTTGATCGCCGTGGCCATCACCATGCGTGTCTCGGTCGACCGCCACCAGGTTCGGCTTGGCTCTTCCTCGCTCATGTAGGAGTAGTCCAGGCACAATGAACTTGCACCACTCCTCTTGCCCTGATGCACTCCCCACACCTGTAGACCGCATGTCCACTCGCTTCATGCTCCTTGCTCTCACGAGCTGACGTGCCCGGATTCATCGCTCTGGCCTCCACCGACTCCTCAACAACTTCTCCACCGGCGTCACCTCCTCCAGGTATGGCCAGAGCCTCATCTTCCAGCGCCCATACCGTCTCTTTCTTCTTCAAGCACAAAGGACCCGGTGCCGGCAGCGTCGGGTTTGGGAGCCAGACCCAATACTCAGAAGAAGATGATGCGGACATCGGTGATGAGTGCTCCATCATGGCCACATCCTCCTTCTCTGCTTTCTCCTCCTGCTCTTCCAATTCCAGTAGATGTTGTAGATCCCGTTTTCCTCCACCAAGAGAATCAAACCCTTGTCATGTTGCTTGAGGGCCCGCTCCATCAACTCCTCCACTGCTCATGGACCGGGCGCGCCTTCGGGATGATCATTCCACGTCATCCAGGTACGGTACTGTACCCCTTTTAGTGTAACCCAGCACTGATCAGCGGACATCCGTGGCTTGCCCATTCAGCACCCTCTTGACTCCTCCGGCGTCATACCCCGAGCTCCAACAGCTTCTCGCTGTGTCTCTTCGGGAAGGCCGTGACCGAGCCTTGACCCAGGAGTCCACATCCATGGGCACCGCCTCGCTCGCTGCGGGCTTGCTGAAGTTGCCCGACAGCGTCGTCTTGCTCCCCGTCTTGGCCTCCATGAACGTGACCACCTCCGCCTCCATCTCCTCGAAGAACTTGAAGCGGCTGTGGTTGAGCAGGAGGTGAGTCTCCAGCTCCCGAGGAACCAATTTTTCTAAAGCATTCATAGCTAAGCTGTCTGGCAGGTCCTCCCGAATTGGTCTTTTCTGTTGTAGCGGCCCCTCAAAGACTTCCATCTCTCCACAGCAAGTCATAACCCGCTCTATCGGGGTTCGTGAGGGCTTGGGGCATGATCCTCTTCCGGCCGCGGCATTCTCCACCAAGTCGAAGACCACGCCCTCCGTCGTGGCCCTCAGCACGGTGTAGAGCTGCTCGTTGAACTCCTGCACCGTCCCATTGATATATTAGATCAGCACCCGAGCCGTAGGCCTTGTTTCCAGAGCTGCCGCCCACTCCAAAACCTCCCAGCTCCTGCCGCTGAAGACCCCCGTCACGTAGTCCTCCAGCTTCAATGCCGAAACCCGGAACTTCTCCTCGGCGTCCTCCAGGCCTTCCCCAAACCTCTCTGGTCCACCAGGCCCCCACGCTCCTTCTTGCCAAGCTTCGCCAGGGCATCCGGCAAGCTCTGCAGCGCTCTCAGCACCTCCGTCTCCATGCCTCCTGAGCCACTGGCGCTCAGTGGCCTGTAGCCTTGCCACAGGTGCGCATTCTCCTGCTGGACCTGGACCAGCTGTTGCTGCACCTGCTGCAAGGCTCTCATCACTTCCTCCGCCGAAGTCATCGAGGCAGCCGATGATCACCAGGTGCAGGTCCACGCTGCAGGCCAGCCTCCCGCAGCTCGGCCACCTAAGGCCCTGCCACCAGCCTGTCGTCCTTTCTCCTCCGGCCCGGCGCAGGCTGACGGTCTCGCCTCTGGCACATGACCCGGCGCTTGCCCTTGGACTTGTCCCTGATCGTGTCCAAGGGCTCCGCTACCATGCAGCGCATCCTTGTTTCATCTCACTAGCTTTGTGCCAGATGGCTATGGGTAAAAGTGCCATGTGTTTGCAGTCCGTGTACCAAGCCATGTTTTTCTAGTGGGAGGGTACACACAAGTCAGAATCCAAATCTTCAAGAGAAACAACAAAATTGAGATCCTACTCCCCTCTCAATGGTGGCTTCAAGGGAAACACTGATATCTAAAAGTGGTAGTGGGACCGCGACAAAATTAAACCTTTGTGTGTACCACTAAAATGCTCCAACCCCCCAAAAAAGGTAGAAAAAGTCCAAGTGGAGTGAGGGGCCCAGGTTCCGCTCGGTGCGCCTTGTAGGTCTCGCTCCATGTCCGGTTTCTCGCTGCTGCTCCAGGTTTCTTCGATCGCCTAGGATGCGAGCTCTTGATTTGGCTCTCGGCGCGACCCAAGTTGAAGGGTCCAAGTTGGCCGCTCCAAATAGGGGTGTCATTGTTTGAAGGTGCCCCTGTTTTGGTGGTTTTGAAGGGAAACCAAGAGGAAAACCACCGTTCTAGTGGGTCCCCCCCAAAAAAAAACAAAATGCGCACAGGAGACTTCCCTCTTGCAGGTTCCGCATGTTGTCCTGCATGCCTCGAAGTAACTGAAAACTCACCCTGAAATGCGAACCGTGTGCTCTGCAACGGGAGCAAGGTGAGAATACACAACTTGACTGGTGCGTCAGGGAAGCCTACAATCATCAACTTCAGGGCAAAGGGGTGGTTGCCTCAGTGAGCCTGCATATGGGCACTCGATATCGCGCGTAAATCTTGTGTACACACGCACTGAGACGGCGCAGAGCGGTGAACCTCGCGTTTGTGGCCGCAATTAGAGGTAATCTCTTAACGGAATCGTGGCCTGCTGCAGGCATCGGCATGGCCGACGTGCAAAAACTTGAGCGCTTTGCAACTTTTCGCGGCTCTCGCGCGACCCTCTGCAGGAATTGCGTCGGTCGGATGCGCAAACACGTGGTAACATGTTACCGTTTTGCGCCCCCGCGTGACTCTTGGCGGAGATTGCGCGCATCGGCCACGCGCACAGGTAAACAAAAATGTTACTTCTTGAATTTCGGAACGGGGCGTTTGTGTCGTGGGTTGCGCTCGTGGAAGTGAGGTGTCCCCAGCTCGAATTTCCATCGGCCCGCTCTGGCTGGAAAGTCCCAAGCACGACACTAGCGCACAAAGAGAAGCTTGCAGCTCCGGCTCGAACGAAGTGCGGAAGAAGTGCTACAGTTGCGCAGCTTTTGCGCGAAAACCAGAGAAACTTGCAGAGAGAACTTGCGCGCGACCACTCGCGCAGAGAGCTTGCACAGGGAATTTTCAAGGAGAGCTTGCGCAGACACACCTGCAAAGAAGCAGACAAACTTGCGCACACCGTTTGCGCGGCGAAACTTGGGCAGAGAGATTGCCCAGGATTATGCCCCAAGCACTTGTGCAGGGAAGAACATGTAACAACATAGATCTTGCGCAGACACACCTGCACAAAAACAGAACGTTGCACAAAGACACTGCGCAGCGAAAGCTGCGGCGAGAACTTGCGCAGAGAACATTGCATCGTGAAATTGCACAGTGGGAAACTGGCATCAGTCAACAAACTAGCACGGAGAACTTGCGCAAGTAACCTGCAGAGAAAACTCGCGGAGAAGTCTCCGCAAATGACACTCGCAGGAAACACTTGCATAGAGAAACCCGTGCAGTCTCGCGCCAAAACACTTGCATGGGGAAATTTGCGCAAAGAACTTGGATAAAGCAACTTGCGCAGAGAAACGCACGCAGAGAATGTGCACAGAGAACGTACGCAAAGAACTGGGCACAGCGAAACCTCACCACAAAAGTGCTGCGGCATGTCTTTGCGGTGCGCGCATACTCTTGTCTTAAAACTGGTAGCTTATATTTTCGAGCCACCGGTTGTGGAATTTCCCTTTGTGGAATTCGAGGGGGGGTCGTCCCCAAACAAGAAACGACCAAGAACACACCGTGCCACCCCCCCCGCCCCGAAAAAGGAAACAATTCAGGGATCCTCTAACCGGGGTGCATGGAAGTATCTCTACGTTTCGGTCTGCTGCGGTGACCTGCTTTCAATAACCCAACCTTCAGAAATTGTGCCCTCCCGCGCTCCAAAAGCAAACAAACAAACACATACACACACACAAACAAACAAAACAAACAAACAAACAAACAAACAAACCAGGCGGCAACCTGAAATGAGAGTTGGACCCCCCAAGAAACAGGACATACATCTTTGGGGCTTCACTCGTTTTACCATCCAAAAACTCAATAAGTAAGCGACTCCGAACCTATTTATGCACATCTTGCAGTTACCTCCAGAAGACACAGTGGTGCTAAAATCGCCGCGAGCCACGTGCATGATCTGCTCGTGGGTCTTCATCTTCAAAATCTTCCGCATGCCGCCCAACAGCCGGTGCCTCACCAAGATCTCCCGGGGCGCCGCCTGTGCCAAGGCGAGCCTCCCACCCCAACGTCGTCCCTACGTGCGTCAGCCCAACCAAGCTAAGCCTGTACGACACTGTATGACCGACAAAATGACTCAGCTCCACAGGAGGCCGTTGGAAAATTGGGGTGCATAATTCCAATCCAAAAGGGTCGCAAAAACCCGAAGCCTTTGGCCAGGCTTAGGCTCGTGCAAGTGAAGCAGCCCTTCGCAACACCAAGCTCCTATGCCAACAGGCCGAACATGCGGAGGCCAGGCAATCAGCTCAACATGCTATTGCCGGAAAGAATGCAACCATCAGCGCTTCGAGGGTAGATAATCTGGAAGCAATGAAAGTGAGGCAAGTGTTAACTTTTGCTCCAAGTTTGAGTGATGGGGGGAGATGAAGTGGGTTCTAGTCCGAAAACTAGTCCTCCGGGGCCAGGCAATACAGATCGCAGGCGCGCCAGTAGTCCGGGGGCTGTGAACATGGCCAAGCACCAAGTAGTAGGAGTGGAGCGTCACACAAATGACGCCACGCAAATGGATGCTGCTCCAGGCACGATAGAGGGAGCGCACTCCGCTCGAAGGTTCGCTACCTTGAGTTGTCGCGACTGCTCCTCGCGCGGGGATCCTCCCGTGGTGTGCCAATTATTCCACCGATGCATGACTTCAGTTGCGCGCATTCTAGGCCGAAGCCAAACGTCTGAAGGAGACGCGCGCAGTCAGGAAGTACATCAGGCGCCGATGCGGTGTCACAATGAGGACCTTGACAAGGTGATCTTCGCGCTTGGGGGGAGGGCTTCAGGCGCTGCAACAAGAGACAGCCCAGTCTTGTCCGTCTGCGCCTGGGGCTCGGATTGCCTGAGGGAGATTGCGAATCCTTGGGCTGCTGTTGCTGAAGGCGATTGATGCTGACCAAGCCAAGCGGACGCCGCGCCAGCTGCGGCCTCTGAGAAAGCAGGCGTGCCAAAAGCCGTGGTCGAGGGGTCGGTCGCATTCCTCGAGCAACTCCCACCGGTCCCAATCGTTCGGTGGGTCCATCCACGGCCTCAGCACGCAGATGTCGCCACTAGGATCAGGAGGCGCGCGCTTGGCAGATCCAAAAATGTATCTTTCCAGGCTGCTTGCCGCACGTCGCCCCAGCAGATACATCGTCACAGCATGGTTGGCCCTGCCTGCTCGCTTGCCCCTCGGAGACCAAGAAAGCGGGACCAACAAGTGCTTAGCTCTGCTCCCACCTGGCGGCGGCATAGACTCACCTGTCGATACCGCTCCTTTAAGGAGCCGTGTCATACCCCTGATGTTGCAATATCCCGTGGAATGTTGACTTAACACCGGTCAAAAAAAAGACACACACCCTAGAAGCAACTTGCTTTCCCAAAACACGGGCCCGGGAGCAAGAAGGCGAACCCAGCCTTGAGGAGGTGTTCCACAAGGATGCGCTTCGGGAGGTTTCGGGCCACCTCGGGACGTGGGGACAATGTGCGACTCCCAAGCGAGTTGGGTGTGTGTGTGTGTGTGTGTGTGTCTTCTTTGAGGGCATTCTTCAGGTAATGTTGGCACCGGATTAATAAACCCCAGTTTAGTAGGAGGGGGTGTCCCTGGGTTTAGTGGGGAATCATCACTTTTGGCGGGGAGCACCCCGCCTATTAATAAACCGGGGTTGATTAACACGGGGTCAACATTAGGTTGAAAGGGAAACCACAAGGAAGACTGAAGCTACTTGGGGTTGTCCCTATTTGACACATTCCCAGCTGGTGAATTTCTGGGGAGCGCTATTCAAGATGCGCGGTTTTAGAAGACACCCAAGTGCACAGGGCGGCAAAGCGGCGCTTCAGCTGCTCCATGAGTGTTCACTCAGTGCGAATGCTCGTGGGCAGTTTGGTGAGCGACCGCTTGGTGCACTTCATTGAGGTGGGAGTTTATGTCCACCAGCCCGCCGTCAAGGGGGCTCCCCATTGAAGCTCATAGCTAAGGGTGGTTTCGCTGATGGAACGAATGCAACACTTTTGTGGGAGCCCGGCAGGCGTTTGCCAATGGATGATATGCACTGTCAAAACTCAATAACCTACATTTCCTTTGTGAACTAAATTCCCGAACAATCCCGAAACAGACCAAGTAATTGGATACAAAATTGGAACAAAACACGCAGGGACCCCGCAAAACCCATGCCTTATGCGGGCAATGACCTGTTTCCGGCCATACCCACTCCACAAGTCATATAGTCATAGAATACCTTCACTAAACAAGGGATCCAAACCCGTTGCCAAAACCGGACCTACCATCACAGCGACCGACGCCGAACCCGCACCGCGCCTGCGGAGGCAGGAGCTCGGAGTTGGGCTCCAGCGGCCCGGGGCGGCAGCAGTCCCAACAGCCCAGCGCCAGCTCCACGTCGTAACTGAAGTGCATGTGCCTTCGATCGATTTGGATCGAATCCTGGATCGAATTGAATCATGACCGGAGTCCCGTGAACTTTTGGATGCTTTGCGATCGATCGGAGTCCGGCCTTCTGAACTTTTGATTTGGTGACTTCGGATGGCGTTGCGAATCCAGGAAAGAACCCTTCAGAAACCCAAGGGAATGAGTCGATTCCCCGGTGAATGCCAAATGGTGTCTCATGGTTTCAAGTGGTGCAAGATTTCGAGCGTCCACAATAGGTGTTCCGTGCCTTTTCAGGAAAGGCAGAAAGCCGTAAAACAAAAACAAAAAACAACCTGCTGGTGTGGTTCGGCTCGGATCCTGGTGAGTCCAAAGGGACTTAGGAACCCGGTAGCCGTTCCTGGGACCTTGGCCTTCCGAACATTGGTTGCCCCGCAAATGAAAATCGAGCCCCGGGGCCTCCAACCTAAAGGCGAAAAGCAGCGGCAAAAAAAGCAAATGGCCCATTGGCCTCGGGTCAATGGGAGATAAGAAAGGCGCAGTGTTCCCCGTGCCCCCCTTCCCACTGAGTGCCAGCACAGCCCTTGACGAAGCTGTCACTGGGTTGCGAGGTTGAGGCGAAAACATGTTCTTCCAACCCAACAAGTCCAACACGTGTTCGACTTTTCGGATTTCGATCTACTTGTCCACTTCTCGACGGCCTAAACTTGCGACGGTTCGGCTGTTTGACTTTTGGTGTCCAATACTTCAACTTTCAATACTAGAACACTGCTGTTCAGGAATGTTTTTGGCTTTCCGATTTTCAACATTTCGCAAATGGTTCCATAGTTTGACTGTTCACACAGGGACAAAATGCTATTCAGAAATCCAAAAAGCCAAAGTCATCAATGTGTCACGTATCGTTCCTACTGCTAGGCTGCAACGCACCCCAATTCTTTTTCCCTTCTCATCATTCATAGTCTGCACTGCTCGTGCCTGTCACAACCCTCATCACCTGAGGGATAATGCTTTGGATCTCCATGCATCTCCTGCATGGACTGTGCTTAGAGGGGGCCACCGGTCAACTCCGGTTGGGATGCCTCTAACATCCTTAAAAGTTCCCCAATGCACTTCATCAACTCCCAAAGCACTACAGAAAGCTCGTCACCGCGAGCACGGCACGAAATGGCAGCTTCCACATGATGGGGAAACAGAAAGCAGTAGACATTGAGAAATCATTCTGGCGGGCCCATGGGTCCTGCCATCCTAAACGGGAAATCGCGTCTGACCAATTGGACTTGGAAGGGATCCATTCCCAATACATCCAGACCTTCAGCCCATACAAAATTGTGTGAATCACGTGGGACATTCGTTCCAGATCTGGTTCCCTGGATCTACCACGGATTAAACACATCAGGGCTGCGGTGTTGTCGATGTACCACACTCCCCGCCGGTTGCGGAATGTATCCGGCCGGCAGAGAAGGGCGTACAACACCATGGACAGCTCCAGTTGAGCAATTTTCCGGTCCCCAACTCGTAAAGCTCAATTGGGATGTCGGCTACAAAAGCTTCCCGTCGCTCGGTGAAGCCGTCGGCCCAAACCATCAGGAAACCTCCCGTCCCCTGACGTGGGCTCTCAAGAGCCGCATCGGACGCGATCACGAACCTCTCACACGGCACTGGCAAAACTGGCAGCACTCGCCGTGGTTGGGTGGCAAAGACTGCTTCTAGCAACTCAAGGCTCGCCTTGATAGGCTCAGTCAGCTCAGATGATCTTTCAGCCTGGCGCATCTTGATGGAGCCCAGTCCTCCGCATCCCACGCGGCCATAGACTCCCATCTCCAAGAAGTTAGCCAAGCCGTAGATCTTAGCCGCGAGGCCAGGCGCTAGCTTCTCCTCTGTCCTGACCTTCTGGATCATCCCGGCCATCTTCTAGGACAGGGGCCCCCCAGCCTTCATGCCAAAAGCAAACAATACAGCCTCTTGCCTCCTCACTGCTCATAGGAGAGTGGCGATAGGCATCTGGCCAATCCTCCCCTCCGGATTCCCACGAGTCACCCTCGCGGGCTGAGCGAAGTTGGCTCTCATCCATGCGTTGCATCACCGCTGCAATGTGCTGAGCTGGCCGCAGCGGCGAACAGAGGACTAATTTGTTTGCGTCCGATGAACGGAGGGACTGTCCCCCTGTATCTGCGTTGTCGATCACTCGCTGTTTGCCTGAGGACTGTGTGATGACACACCTGGGTATGAGTCGGAATTCCTGCCCTTTGAGCTCCCGCTGCAGCTCGGACAGGGACATCGGTGCCGTGCAAAACCCACGATCAGCGTCCTTCTGTGACTGCTCCAGTAAGAAAGTGTCATCCTTGCCCGGGCGCAAACTGGCTCCAGGACCTCCTCAAAGGTAATCCTCCGCACGTCTTGCTGGGGGAAAACGCCGTAGTGGGGGGCAAAACCGACTGCTGGCAAGCCCACCACCAGGCCATGGGGGTATGACACGTCAGGCCACGCCAGCAATATCACCAACAGGCCCAGCAAGCCAATGTCCCTTTGCGCTGTCACTGCTTGAAGGGCTGGTGCCTGGAATTGCCTCAACTGATCATTCACTCGCTTCCATCTCTGCTTCAACTCCTTGACGGCCCCAATGGCGCCACGACGCAGTTGGCGCAGGTCCCCCCTGCGTGCCGCCATGACTGAAGCCACGAACTGCAAATCCTCGTCCATCACTGCTTCCTGCTCCAGTGGAGTTGGTGTCATCTTCATTGCCAAGGCCGTAGCGAAGTGGTCGTCCGGATTGGGCACACCGGAAATCAGCGGGGGCAGAGCTGCCTTGTGGCTCAACGCGCCCGCTTGCTGCCCCTCAGCTGTGCGCGACCGGATGCGGACCCCGCCGGGGCCGTGGTAGGGCCAAGGGGGCCATCCCAATCTAGCTGCTGCCCATGCCGCCACTCCGCATAGTCGGTGAATGGGGATTGGTTGATGAGGTCCTCGATCATGGGGAAGCGGGGAAGAGGCCCAAGAAGCAGTTCACCACTGCCTCTTGCGTCCAGCGCCTCCACGGCACTGCTCTGGCATCCACTCCCGGCAAACCGCCCCATGCCAGCAGAACTCCTCGTCTCGGCACTCGGCG